TATGGAAACAACACCTCAAATGTGAATAATGGCTTCCATAAGAGTATGTTGAACCCCAAAAGTAATATCTCTGAGAATCACATGATTATAGAAAAGCCCCACTCACATAACAACCATCCTAGAGGATACAGTCTTTCTAGTTTTATAAAACTTCAAGAGGAAGAAAGAGGTTATGGAAATGCTGTGGGGTCAAAACGTTCACATGTGGAAATCAGCAGCCCTAGAAATGACAGCGCAAATTCACCAACAAACAATGAAGAAAATAGCACTGATGGTTCTGGCAATGGATTTGTTACTGCAAAAGCTAAACTGGTATCCATTCACTTCTAACTACCCGTCCTCACCTTTTCTGTCATTTCCATACTAATACTTGAGCTAGAATTCTTGGATGCATTCATTTTGTGCCTGCAACGTACACATGATCTAAAATCTGGATACTGAAACCTATCCAGAAAATACCAAGTCAGAATCATAAGTATTATGCTTTGAATCATAACCCTTATTGCAGTCTTCTTATTTTCTGTCTTGTTTCCTGTGTAGCAGTATTTTCTGGTCCAGCATCGTGTATAAATCATTGACTTCAACGTACCACATCTTTATGCAATCAACATGAGCATAATGGAATTTATATTGTTTGTATGAAGAAAAAACGTAATTCTTATCATTTTGCCTTTAATATCTCTTTGTCTCAAACTCCTGGATTAAACATGTAGAAAAATTTGTTTGACACCACACGATGGGTTATGAAATCTGAAAAAGAAAAATCAACCTAAAATATAGGGAAGCATCTTTTCTGCCATAGATTCTGTAACTTAGAATTCTTAATTTAGAGAACTACTTGCTAAAGTAGAAACATCTCAATATGCCAACTAAATTTCATACCTGTCACAAGGTTTGTTTAAAGAGAACTCAAATGTCAGTTAGAGTTGGGAGTACTTGTAAAACATGATCTTGCGCTGGAAATATATTTGGTCCGGTGCTTTAAAAGTTTAGCATCATTTTCCTTTCTTATCATGACGTATGGGCCAATTGTAATCATTGTCTCTGCTCTTGTATAGGAAATGGATGCAAAGCAAAAACGTGGCCTAGCAGGATCACCAAGTACATCTATCTCCCCACAAAGTGATAGCACAAACAGAGGATATGGTGCGAGATCATATGGGTTTTCACGCCGTGGCGTTCGAGGTAATTTTATTCCACCCATAAAATCTAATGGGGGCAATACTGGAAATGTGACTACACGAGTTGCTGGAAAGAGCGATGATGCATCGGATGACTCGGCAAAGAGATGGTGAGTTATGTGGTTATTATTTCATGGCATCAGAAGTGAGTTAAAATTACTCAGCAGTTCTTAACGCTGTAAATTGACAATTGCTAATTTATTAAAGTCTTTATAAGATGGCTTAACCATCTGAACGTGTCCTCTGGAGTAGTTAAAACTTGGAGGTTACTCTTACTGAACCTCATTTGGAAGTCACAGGACAATCGAATGATGCCTTTTCAAACTAATCTTATGTGATATCGTTTCATTTCACCTGTCATAAACTTATAATGCACTCCCATTTTGATTTAACAGAACAATTTCGCTTTTCTCTGCTCAGTGAGCAGAAGTAATGGTTGATGTTGTATGGTCTGGTTTATAATGCCAGCCCGTGTCTCTCTAGTCTGTCCCCATTTTTTCAGTATAGATGTTGACTGGTAATCAGAGTGAGGCATACGTGCACTAAGCTTAAGGTTGCTTTTTGTGTTTTAGTTTGGAAATGCTATGCGGTCCTGATGGTGAACTTCCTGAAAAGTTGAGGAATTTGGAACCTCGTCTCATTGAGCATATTAGTAATGAGATTATGGATCGAGATCCTAATGTTCGGTGGGATGATATAGGTACAATATACTACCTCACACTTCTTACCTCAGTCAGCAACCTGTTTTAGTTCCCATCTATTCCAATTTGATTTCAACTGCTTTCCTGGCAACTTTGTAGCTGGTCTGGATCATGCAAAAAAATGTGTGACTGAGATGGTTATATGGCCTTTGTTACGTCCTGATATATTTAAAGGGTGTCGTTCTCCTGGAAGAGGTCTTCTTCTCTTTGGTCCACCGGTAGGTACTGAATCCAAGTAATATCAAGGGAGATACTCTCTACTTTATAAATTTAATGTTTTTCATGTTCCAGGGAACAGGAAAAACAATGATAGGGAAAGCAATAGCTGGGGAGGCTAAAGCAACCTTTTTCTACATTTCTGCCAGTTCATTAACTAGCAAGTGGGTATGTTTTCATCCTACTTCTTCAGTGTTTCCCTAACTGAATCTTCTGTTCATACAAGAAAATTTCTGATGAATGGTCACATTTAAAACAATTGGGATAGGTGGCAAGGGCTATATATTAGTTTATACTCCTGAACATCTTGCTATTTTTTCTGAACTATTCATTAATGTGCTAAAGAAAACAAAAGAGAGGAACCTTCTACTTTCTTACAATTGAATTGATGCATAGACATTGTAGGACATACTGTTTAACTTTTGAAAATTGACTCGTGACTGTAGATTGGGGAGGGTGAAAAGTTAGTGAGGGCGTTATTTGGTGTTGCCAGTTGTCGTCAGCCTGCTGTAATTTTTGTTGATGAAATAGACTCCCTTCTGTCTCAGGTATAGTATTTTCTGACCCTCGCTGCTACACTAGGTTCCTGACTATTTATACCTATCAAGCAGGTTAATGACACTGATTGTTTGCATTTTTTTTTACTATGAAATACCTTTTTCTTGATCCTTCACAGAGTGCTTCCCATCTACATGCAGGGTTACTTCGTGCAAACATGCAATAACCCCCTTTAATATCTCTTTATATCAATTAGATGGTATTCATTTCAAATAAGATGTTGCGCTTAAAACTTTCACATAAATTGCAGCGAAAGTCAGAAGGTGAACATGAATCAAGTAGACGACTGAAAACACAGTTCCTCATTGAAATGGAAGGCTTTGACAGTGGTAGTGAGCAAATTCTACTTATAGGTAAATTTTTAGAGCTGAATATCAGATTCTATTGCAATATATGCCCAAAGTTTTGAGACATTCAGGTCTGCCTGCATTCTCTTTCCCCCCTCATGCCTTTTTTCTCCCCTAAAGTTTTGAGCTCCTTAGGAAAGAAACTGATTGAGGAAACAAGATTGTCATGCTTTGACACTAATTCTGCGTTAGGATTTTCCTAGTAGTGAATAGAGAATCTGTGCAGTGCAAATCCTTGTCATGTTCCATATAATGGAAAAGCAAGCCCCTTTTGCACCCACAACTTCTTATTCCACCACATCTTATTTTCAACCAAGCAATCCTTATGCCTGTCCATACCATGTGCCGGGTAAGTGCACTTCCTGGTCAGCATGCCACGGCAACAACATAACAATAATCTTACTCCTACTCATTTAAACACATTTTTCCCTTTTACGAAGGGATATGCTCCTCAAAATCCAACATTAGGCTTACTTCTTTGCTAGTCAAGCTTCTTCACCAACACCATTAGTATTTGGTAAATATATGTGTTTTTTAGGAGCGACAAATCGACCCCAAGAACTGGATGAAGCAGCACGTAGACGCCTTACTAAAAGGCTTTACATTCCCTTACCCTCGTCAGGTGCAATCCAAATTCTCGTATGTCTTTCAAGTTTGTGAATGAATAAATAAATGAAGTGACTAACCTTTTGCTTATTGGGAATCAAGAAGCAAGAGCCTGGATTGTACGTAATCTCTTAGAGAAGGATGGACTATTCAAGCTTTCCAAGGATGAAATTGATACCATATGTAGTTTGACTGAAGGTACTTAGTTCAAGCATTTTGGATTCAAAACTCCTATACTTCATCTGTTTTGTTTTGATTGGTGATCTGAAGGGGGTTAGAGTCTGAAATTTTTCCTGCCTTGCGTGTTTTTTTTTTTTTTTTCTCAGGAGATTCAGGATCAGACATGAAAAACTTAGTGAAGGATGCATCCATGGGTCCGCTAAGAGAAGCTCTCAAACAGGGCATAGAAATTACCAAGCTGAAAAAGGAGGATATGCGATCAGTTACTCTTCAGGTAAAAAAGCGTACATTCATAAAATTAGATGCTCTCCTAGTAAATTTGGTGGTTTTTATCAGTTGTTTACGTTGAATTGAATATATCTTTTTTGGCAAAAAGGATTTTGAAGATGCATTGCAAGAAGTGAGGCCCTCCGTTTCTTCGAATGAACTCGGTACGTATGATGAATGGAACAAACAATTTGGAAGTTTATCTCTCTAGGGATCAATTTGATCAACGTAGGAAGAAAAAAACGGAAAGCAAACCACTTGTAGCTGAAGACGGTGCGTTATTTGCCGTGTGCAATCCTTCACATCCTAAATGTAAATGGAATTTTGATGTGATGGCGCTATGGATGATAGCACACAACTTTAACGACCAATATAATCAACACCTCCATCCACTAACGTGTTCTTGAGTCATGTCACATAAAATTTCCTGCAAATAATTTCCCATTACAGTGAGTAATTATCTGTTTTATCCATCTTTTTGCACGACGGGTAAGCGGTGGGTGGTAGGTTGCTTGATGTTTCCCCTTTTCTTTTCTTTTTGTAAATTTATAGTATGGTAGTTACTGGGAAAAGCCAAATGCTCTGAGTTGACTTAAAGTACAATTAACTAACGAAAAGGATAGGGAGAGACACCGCAGAGGTGGCAGTTTCTTATTTGCTGAGAATTGTGTATTGGGCCCGTTTGATGACGCGGAACCTGGTAAGTTGATCGACACCTCCGCGGTCTCCGCAATAATGACACCTATTCATTAACTAATCGCGCACCTATTTCTAATTAGGATGTCTATCCCATGTGAAATAATCGTTCTAATCACGCATGTACTTTCTGACCAAAACTTAAAGATGAGGCGTGCTTGTGTCTTATTTGTCGGGCACATAGCTAAATTTATAACTTGATCTAACATCCATGATTGATGACGCTGATTCTTATAATCAGGGGTACAGATCAGTGTATGTGCACATGTTATCTGGACATAATCATGTAGTATTTATATATACAGATTAACAATTGAGAGGGAAAAAAACACAGAAAGCTCTAAATTATGACTAATTTAATTGCTTGTTTATGCTCGTCGTCTGAGTCCTCTTTTGGACCAAAACCTCTAGTCCGCCGGCCATGTGAGCGGTCAAGAGGGGGACAAAGACTGGGCTAGCTGAACTTAGGGGTTTAATCTTGAACCGGTCAAGAATGGAAGCCATCACGTACTTCATCTGAATGAAGGCCATTTCTTTCCCAAGACACACCCTGGGACCAGCTTGAAAGATTGGGAATTTGCAAGGACATACCTCCTGGAGTTCTCTCCTGTCATTTGCCTCAACAAACCACCGGTCCGGTTTGAACTTGAAACAGTCCTCACCCCATAGCGCTTCCATTCTTCCCATCCCGTAGGGGAAGTAGGTCACCCTGTCTCCTGCCCGGACGGGAGTGTTGTCTGGCAACAAGTCACTGACTACGGCATGCTTCGAGTCCCAGGCTATGGGTGGGTAGAGCCTCATTGACTCGCATAGGCATGCCTTCAACAGATTTAACTCCTTCAATGAGTCATAATCTAACATTCTTTCCATTAGAAGTCTTGTCTCTTTCACCACTTCTTTCTCTATATCTGGATGACAAGAGAGCAACCAGAATAGCCATGTCATTGCAGCTGAGGTTGTATCCCTGCCTGCCATGATGAAGCTTATCACCATGTCTCTTATGACCTCCTCTTCATGGCCGGCCAATATAAGCCGAGAGAGGAGGTCTTCACTGCGACTCTCTCCCTCTTCAATCATCCTTTTCTTGTTGATGATTATCTCAGAAACACATCGATGAACCTCTTCAACCGCGCTCTTAAGCTGTCGCTCAGATCCAATCCCGAGCCATTTCTTCATCTTCCAAACTATGAAGAGGGGAGCAGCTCCTCGTTTTGCGCATATCTCCGATGCCTCGTCGAAAGCTCTTGTAAGAGGTGGAACTGGTTGGGAAGGATCTAAACAGCATCGATCTATCCCTAGTGAAACCTTAAGGACCATGTTGAATGCAAACCGTCTTAGCAACTCCTGCAAATCCACCACCTCTGCTGTCACCGCCAATGATTCCAAAATTGGCAGCAGCCCCTTCTCGACTTCTTCTTCCAATGTGATCATGAAGAACTCTCGTAAGGATTTCGCGGAAAACTCATGGCTGGCGAACTTGCGTTGCGCGCGCCAAAGCTCCCCGTCCACGTTGAATATACCATAACCAAGAAAGTCCCCAAGAATTTCAGTAAAGGGCTGCCCTTTCGGGAAGTTGTTAAAGTTGGTTTTGAGCATATACTCGACATTTTTGGGGTTGGCTGTCACGATGGTTCTTCGTGCACCAAGGCGGTGCACTACAATTGTGTTGGTAGCTGATTCTGCAAGCAGTTCAGTATACCAATCCAACAAACGACCCCGGTTCTTGTAGAATGAAATCAAACATCCTATTATAGGATATGTTGGAGGCTTGTGGCCGGAGAACTCTTGAACACGCCGAAATCTGCTCAGAATTACGTTGAAAAGGTAGAGAAGCAATATATAAAACAACAAGAATGATAGGACCTGCAGGACGAAGAGAGACATGGGGTTTGCCATCTGAGCATGCAGGGAAAATGAAAATGGTGGATGATGACTATATAACCTTGTTTGGAGATAATTTTTTGCAAACGTGTTATATAAGCCCACATGGCCGTATATTTGCATCGATACGCTTCCCTACCATTATAATTAATATATTAATATTATTACTATTATTTTCTTGGTGAGCTTACGGAGCGGTAGATAGTAGTTGGTGTGAATCCTCAATCATGTATGAACATGTTGCGGTAATATCTGTGCCTTGGTTCTTATTGAATTAATTAATTCTTTAATTAGTGAACTTGCTGGAGATTAAAAAAACGCAC